GCTCTTTGCAGTTTCCAACGCATCGCCACCCTAAATGCTCTGCGCTCTACGCCAATCATGCAATAAATTGAAGAATCTTTAATATATAAAAGTTAAGAAGCAAGTATAGAAATGTAACAATTTTATGAGGCCATTCATTATTTTGCTGCTAAAAGTTATCGTATTTTAATGCGGCATTTTGTGTTGTTGCTTAAAAGCGGAAGCAAAATCCTTCTCACTGTTTAGCTATCTTCATTGCTCTCCAAAGGCAAGAAGCGAGATAAGTCCAAAATTAAGTACAGATTAGCTATATCAAACAAATGTATTTTTTTACAATACTAAATCGAATGTTTTGCGCCATGTGAGTCTAGCAGTCCACATGTTCCACGGACCTCTCCTCTATGGGTTGACAAAATCTTCAGCAGTAAAGGACCTTTTATTCATATGAGCATGTAGTAAAAGCTAAGCTCTCTTGTATCTTGCGTAGTTCCAGGTCAATGGCACCCAGCATATAACGAATCCGGTGTATTTTCAAGTGGTTAAGCTCATACATAGTCCAGGTCTACTTATGTCGAGATCTGAGGAAAGGCTATCAAACCGATAGGAAAGTCTAGTAAAAGCCGCAGCGGGGCCAAAGCTCTTTGCTTAGAGGAAGCTTACTAAAGTCACCGACCTTACGTTCGTTACAAGACCCAGTATGAGTGTATTGAATTGCAATCCGCTACCTTTAAAGTACTCAGGAACCTTATCCAAGAAAAGACGATTTTCTGTTCAATGTATATAATTGATTTAGTTGCGGCAGAGCCATTAATATCTAAAGTCTTAAGTTTTCCTAATTAATATAGTACTACCGAATAAATATAGTAAAGCCTAATTAATATGCATTACTACCGGCAATCCTGCCACGTAGTGGCTTCTTGTTACGGTGTAGCTAATTACACCACCTTGTAAATTCCCCGCCTATGTACGGTTACACGATCTTGTGTGACCCGCCCTTTTATACAAGGGTACATGTGGCCCCGTTACACTCTCCCCCATCAGGATTGTGAATATCCACATATATATTTAACTCTCGCCTCATAGGAGGCTCGCGTGTCTGTGACACCGCTGCGTTCTTAAGAACATCCTTGAACATTCCTTGCTCAATCAGCCCTGTGTCCAAGACACGATAAATACCCAGCCTAGCTGGTTCCGAGGGCGCTCGCTGCAAAGCCCTTCTTCTTCTTCGGCACAGGGTGCATCTCTGGACAGTACGCCACGGCTTCAAGGGAAGAACATCCCAAGCCCTCGGCAACCGAGTGCAACACACCGCGCCCGCCCCAGGCAACGAATTTCCTCGTCGAGTATTTTGAGGAAGTCGACCACGAGTCGGATACTCCTTTCCCAGCATGGGAAGACGAGGAGGATAAGGTGCGGTAACGGTGTACGTGAGTCCAGCTCAAACCTTGCGGACACCGTATTTGTTTCCCGACCTCTCGATTTCCGGGGGAAGTGCTGTCGACACCAATCGCCTCGACGAGGCAAATAAGCACCAATTGAAGGCTGCCCAAAGGGCGGCCCTCATGCGCTCGTATCCACGTTCAGTCCTCGACCCTCGTGTAGAATACGGATTCCGCTCGGCGGATCCCGCTAATGCAGCGAAAGACGCGATAACTCGATCATTAGTCGTCTACATGGTCGCCCCCCCCGGCCACTACACAAGCTAAGCATGATCAGGGAAAAGTTCTCCAAGCCCGCTTTTTGTTACCTCAAGGAATCCCAATGGATCGGTACCGCGCTCGACTTCGAGCTTAAAAAGGGCGCTCCTGTACCCGCAATGCAGACAATTTTTTTAGTGCTCGCCCCTGGCGAAACCGCTGTAGATGATGAGGAGCTCTTCGAGCGATGTGTGCAGCGGTACCGGAAACTTTCCTTGCTGTCTACCTTACAGCAAAGCCACAAAGAAGTGGACGAGCGCGCTGAGCGCCATCTTAGATTTAAGTTTGACAACCTCAAGGCGCAACGCTGTCTACCTGCGTACTGTCGCCCTGCGCCAAATGGAATCATCCATCACGCTCCCGCGACCTCTGTGTTTTTTTACCTGGGTAAGCCTACGACCACAGCAGCTCAGGGCCACAGCTTGATCTCAGCTCATGGCACCCGGCTTCCCGGGCTACCGCCGAGAATTTTTATGCGCACGACGACGCGAAGTGATCTTTCCGATCTTCAGCGTCCACAACGTCTGGGCAGTTTGCCAAAGTGGAACCTCATACTCCCACGAGTTCTCGGAGTTATGGTATCCCCCACTTCATAAGACACTGGATTAAAGCCCGTCGACGACTTCTACCCCACAAGGCGTTCCACGTGGTTGTGACAGCCGCCTTTCTCATGGAGAAGTGTCGATGGCGGACGATGACGACTTGGTCGATCGCTGTCCGGTGACTTGGAGCGTTGGAGGGCCAACCCCGTCGTCATCGGCATTTTGTCGAGAAACTCTCTGAGGTCGCCTATCGCTGTGCGGAAGACCTCGAGATCCTGGAGCAATTAGTGCACCGATTGCCTCGCGTTGAAGATCATCGATCTCTGTCGGAGCGGCTCCTAGCTGCCAAGCTGGCGAATGCGTCACTTTGTGCGACGGTGGAGCGCCTCACGCCGTTGGAAACGAAAGTTGTTGCACTCCGTGCTTAGAGCCAGGTGCTGGTTGAACTTTTGGGTGGCCGAGCGCCTTTGGGCGCCAACCCGGTGCCAACGCTTCTGCGTTCATTTGCGCCAGATCCCGGTACGGCTTAAGCAAGCCCACATAAACACCGGATGGGTGCGCATCCTTCTCGGAAGGTTTAGCTTATACGCGAGGCTTCTCTTGGCCACGATCTTTAAAGGTCCAATAAATCGTGGACGGAGCTTCGTCTTGAAGACAATAGGAACTGCATGTGTAGCAAGGTTTTTGGCATTTAATAAGACCAGGTCGCCGGTCTCATGTTTTTAACATCTCTACTTCCTCATTCGTCTACATATTCCTTCTGCATGTCGTGGCTTTCAGCCATCGCATTGCGAACGTGTCGTAAGACCCTCAGTCTGGTAGACAGGAAGTCATCGACTTTTTGGGGGCTGACATCAGCAAGCCATTCGGCTTTTCCTCCCCCACCAAGCCCTGAGCAACGGGATGGCGGCGTCAGCGGGACGCGAGTATGAACTTGTAGAACGGCGCGTAGCCAGTAGCCAAATGTACTGCATTGTACAAAGCAAACTCAACAAGAGGCAGCATTGTGCTCCAGCGCCTCGGCGCCTCAGCACAGAGGCTGCGAAGAACGTCTTCAGCGACGCGATTCACGCACTCAGTCTGAACATCGGTCTGCGAATGGTCCGCTGCTGGCATAGTCAACTTGGTGCCCAGCAATAGGAAGAGTGTAGACCAAAACTTCCCAGTGAAGCGCAGAGACAATTGACTCCGAGAGTCCATGTCGAACGACAGGATCCACAAACAGCGTCGCTGTACCGAGACCGTCGATGGTGTCCGGTACCACCGCAAGATGGGCCCTCTTGCTCAAACGGTCAACAAAGACCACGACACCCGTGTTGCCCGCCGAGTTCTTCGGCAGACCAAACACAAATCTCAAACTCACGGACTGCCAACACCCGGAAGGACTGGTAACCTGGCCAGCGGTGCCTCCGCATTCGAAGAGGTTTCCACCCTTTGACATATCTCACACGTGCGCACATAGGTAGCGTTCGTTTGTACAGCTTGGTCCACCAGTAGTGGCAACTCACAGTGTTATACGTCTTTTCACGACCAAGATACCACTGAGTGGGGTGTCGTAGGTCTCGTAGAGGATACGGTACTTCAAATCCTCATCGTGGGGAACCACGATTAGTGGCGTAGCCGTCGAGTCGGTGCTCTGCAATCGGTCTCTCCTCGTTTTGTGTGGATTGTATGGGAAGAAGCATCGTACGATGCTCGAGATTTTTCTCACCTCCGAATTCGAATTTGTACTAATTTTGGCCTGATTCAGTCTACATTAAGCTTGACACAAATATATAATATATTTTTTCAACTTGAGAAGTTCCACATTGCATTCAGTTTGTTAGTACTGTAATATGCGTCAGAAGACACTTCTCTGCTATATGTTGAAAAGGGTAGCCGGTATAATCGCTCAAATTACTTTACCGACTCATCAATAAATCTTGCACAAAATTATCCATTGTAAATACACGGGACACCTGTTGAACACTGTTTTTTTGCCATTACTGGGGCACAAAAAAACTACCTCCTTAATCTGCAACAATACTTATGGGTGCAGCAGTACTTCACGGTAGCTAAGGCCACAATACTGACTTTACGATATCTACGCGATCAATCCAATGCAGGTGTTTGATTTTCCTTAGCCAAAAGCGTGGGCAATGTTGTGCAGATAGTTGTCAAACCGCTTGAATCTGCTGTCGAGGCAAAAGTGAATCGTCTGCTCAAAGGATTCACGGGCACGTTCATCAGACACCTCGGGAGCTAGTGTTGTCACAATGTGATTAATATCATCACGACCAGTCAGCTCCGGCATGTCTGCCGGAACCATCAAGAGCAACAACGACACTAATAGGTGCATATGTCTTCGGAGAACGCAATATGCCGTGCATGCTGTGTCAACAAACTTGGCAAAGTCCTTGCCTTCTACTCCACCTAGCACGTAAGCCATTTCGTTAGTAAATACAAACGGAGTTCGCTCGCGACGAATCCCCAGCTTGTAGTACTTAAGATGCCCAAGAAAGTGTCCAAAATCAATGTGGAAGTAGCGGCCTGAGGATGCAATCATAATGTTATCATTGTGACGGTCGCCAATTCCTAGGACACATGTAGCCACACAGTAACCAGCGCATGAGCGACCAAACAGATCGACAGCAGCTCTATGACTTCTTGGATCAGGATTATTGGCCCGAATCCAATCTGAGAAGCTTGGATCCTTGAATGTGCCCATCATACCGTCACGCCTATGTACCTCAGCAGTTGTCACTGAGTTGGGCACCATTTGAAGAATCCCCGTCATTGGAGATGTGGCAACACACTTGTAAGGCTCCATTGCCAAATCCAGTCCTTCGTCTCGCCACATCTCATCCATCAGACGGATCAACTGCAGCGTCAAACAATCTTGTCGCACATCATCGCCAGCCTTGAACATGACTGTGACTGGATCACCACCCTCCTCTGCATTCTCAAACACCAGCCAAAGCGGCTTCTTTGCTGAGTCCATCACGCGGCATTTGCTCACAATGATCTTACCCACTTCGATTCGAGGATCAAGAGGTAGCTGAAACGAACCCGGTAGTAGCTCGTTCAATGCCTCCAAACCTTGCTGCATTGCACGCTTCATCTCAGCAGCCCCGTCCTTTCTCTTCGCTTTTACGCTCTGACAAATTCTCTCAAGCATGCCGCCTTCCGAAAAAAGTTTATCCTGCAGCTTCAAAATCGCACGCATTTTGGAGCTACAAACATCAAGGTATGCATTTAAAATCGTGCCGTAACGTTCGCGGTATTGTGCATTGTGTGCCTCCACTTTCATGCTCCAGAAAAGGTCAAAACCAATTTGATTCGGATTTTTTATCGCTCGCTCGATAAGAAGCATCGCGAGGGGTGAGACGTGGTGGTTTTCGAATTTGATGGCTTGTACAAGCTGTGGCAAAAAGTAACTGAAAGTTGTGTCCGCCATTTGACTCAGCATTTTAACCGCAAATGTACGGACACCTTCGTGCGCAAATTCAACATTCAAAAGCTCGATATAAGCTGCTTGATGATCAGGTACAGACCAGCGCGGAAGCAGTTTTAAAGCATCTGCGCATTCATTTCGGTCGTCCCAATGAACGCAAGAAAGAATGCGAGGAAGAGCTGACGCAATATCGATGAACTCTTCACGGTGCATCCACAATTGCTCCTTTTGATACGGACTAAATCGGTACAGAGGGTCGAGTAAAATGAGCTTTCGCAACTCAAGCAACTCACATTGATACGAGCTAGCACGACTACTGCGAGAGGTCGAATCGCGGCGTTCTTGCGCCACACACTCTAAAATATTTCGACCGTCGAGCTGGTCATTAGTTTCCTCCACTGGAAGGCTTTCTACGACCTGACATGCAAAATTGGCATCTTCATAACTTCCACTGCTTCCAAAGTCACCAATTGCCGAGTCGCCCTTCGCGACAGTTTGGATGGCAAGCATCCATTCTTCACGCTCTTGCTTCGTCTCAGCAGAAATGATGTAATCGCGAGAGGAACCCATTGGCCGCACTTTGAAACACCACGTTTGACGAAGTTTTCGTGTGCCCTTGTTCACTGGCGCTGTAGTAAACTTTTGATTCATATCGTCTGCAGTCGTCACTGAGCAATTGCGTAACGTAATTAGCTTGCGAGGTGCCGTCTCATCGTCTGCATAGCTCAGCATGCAGGTACTTTGGTCGACGACAAACCATCGCCGCCGCCAACGAGTCAAGGACGAGAAATTACCCACTTTTTGCAGCCATCCTTCCTTTCGTAGCATCACGGATCGACTATTTGTAATGATGCTGCGTCTACTTGAACGGTCACTTGATGTCAAGTCATCATTATCACTCCAGTCAAACTTAATGAGTGTATCAAACTTGGAAAATTCTACCTGAATCATCGGCTCACTCGGTAGCGTCACATGAGGCACGGGGCCCGAGATACAAGCGTGCAGGTTATTGTACATGTGTACATAGTGTATGCCCTGGACGAGCGTATTATCGACCTCGAACGCATTCACTCCAGTCACTAACATTTTCTCTTCAGTCGCATCCATATTAGACACCGAGCCTCCGACAATTTTTTTGACACCCAGCACTGTCAGTTGGACACGCATGGTGCGTGTCACGTTACAAATATCAATATTGAATTTGTGCCACACAGGATCTTCCCATTCTGCATAAAGCAAGTCATTTCGTTGCGCCTTCAAACGGACATCCGACGTATCAATAACGGCGTTGTCTAGTAGCTGGCCACCATCGTAGAGCTCAATACGAACGATGATACTTGAGCTTGTCAAGGGAATTCGGCTCACGATCGCCTCTTCACTCGATCTCTTGCGCACACACGTCGTTCGAGGAATATTAAGTACGCGGCGGATACGAAGTGTGAATGGCTGCCGAATGAGTCCACTTGGTAACGACAAATTGCGATCAATCGACGGTCTTTCCCACTCATCTCCCAGCGTCGTCATCTGTAACGACGTTGCTCGTTCTCCTTCAAATATATCCGCAAATTGGTCGATTATATTGCTCATAGATCCACTATTAGTAGAAAGCCCTCTGCGAATACTTAAGTTAATCATGGCCGTTTCTTGAATCACTGACTCATGGATGACAGTTAAACGAATAGTCTTCTTAGTCAACAGACACTCGCGAACGTGCACATACTCGTTTAGAACTCGGAATCGATCAATCATATAGTCTCGATACCCCGTAATTTTTAGCCGATATTCAGCTGGATTATAAGGTCGCAAAGGTGCTGCATCTAAAGCCTGCTCGTAACAGTTAAATATATGCTCAACAATTTGTCCGACAGTATCACCCGTAGTAACAACCATTCGGACATCAGTTATTGCCTTCGCACTCACTTCCTGTAACTGAAACATGCGTTTGTAATTAACGTGAACCGCACTAAATTTGACAACATCGCAAAGTCCCTTGAGCCATCGTTGAGATTCCACTTCCGAATCCGCACAAATGGCCCATGTTCGTGCTGTCGTCACAAGTAGAATTCCATACGGCTCTGTCTTGGACTCCATGGGCTGCAAGGATGACACTCGGTCTAAATCGATACGTCCGCGCTCTAACGTCTTTTTTTCCTCTCTACCCAATGGAATGCCGTTCTTTTCAGGCTTTTTCTTGTAGTACGCAAGAACGCTGCCATTGAGCTCCATGTATCGCCGTTTAAATGCCTTATTCTTTTCTCCTTTTTTACGGAGATATCCTCCCATGTGATTATTAATCGGATGCGTCAATGTAACTGGCTCGTCCGAGATAATGAGGTTCGCAGGAATTCGAGCCACTGTCTTCAGTGGTGTAATAAGAGCAAACTGATTCTTTTGATTAGAATTATGGGCGATCCAATCGCCTTCCTCGACTTTGAACTCAGGCGTGTTGGCTCGTATCTCGAGTTCGGCAGGGGAAATCTCTTCGTGGGCCATTTTTAATACTTTGCCCACAGCTGAACGAAAATATAGCGACTCTTTCGAGTGAAAGAGATCAGGAACAGGCTGCCAGCGTTTATCGTCACCCATCATGCTCCGGCCTGCTTTAGCGTACGGATTTAATGCCTCAAATGATGGCACAAGTCCCGCATCTACATTGCGAGAGCTCCTTGTGCCGCTCTCATAGCTATTGTAAGATGCTGAAATAAAGGAAGATGCAGAGTGGCGCGAAGCGACGCTTCCATTTCCACTCGACTGTAACACTGAATGCATTGATTGCCGCTGATTAAGGCCGAACATCTAGAAATAGCGGTGCGATTTAGCATTTATAGTATCACATTACCTCATCCATTCATAGCATACCGTGATCGGCAAAGCTGCGATCCAGTCGCAAGCGGTAGGAAAATATTGTAGTGATGCTGTAGGCGAGACTGGGCGCTAGTGATGCTGTCTTCTCTGCCTAGTGGTGAAATTTTCCTTCTTCCCCTCTCGCCGTCTTCCCGTAGCTATACGTGCTAAATGCTAGGTATCGTAGATTTCTTACACCTAACCACTAATCTAATCTGTTTTTATTACCTGTGAAAAAAAATGAGACTTTCAGATAGATGCACAGCGGTCCTTGTTTTTATCAGCCTGAAAACGTATCTTCTGTCAAAGAAAATATCATCGTTTTTGCGTCTATAATTGCCAATTGCAGCGATATTTCTTCAAACAATGACAAATAACATCATGGTGATGGTCACTGTAATGAGGAAAGAACAAATGGCTATTATGATACACGCCCAGCATGATACGCCATCCGACAATTTTAACATCGTTGTTACTAGGTCCAATCAACGGAGTAGCGTATCAAACGTAAAGTGGTTCTTCTATGCCGTGGCGGGGCAAATACTTCAAATACTTTCACGAGGCCGTCTTTATGAAATAAGGTGCTAGGTCAAGTAAATAAATATAATAATTGCTGTCATCATCATGCATCGACAAATGTGCGATGTCGAAACATACGGTATATTTGTAGGGCCATATGTAAATTGTCATGAACTAAAATTTGTAGTATCGAAAATACAGTAATGGCTGCAAACTCACATGAATCCAATAAGAGCAATGGTGCGCGGGAACACCACGTCGCGACAATACAATTCGTCTGTTGTTGAGATTTCTGCAAATGTCTTGAAAGCTTTAGAGCAGAAGGCGAGGCCGTTGCTTCGGCACCTTTCTTTATCCAGCTGGCGCCTTCGCACTATTTCAACGTTCTGTGCTGCCTTTCGCAATTCGTTGATTGGCGGTACAAAACGGCTAGGGCTAAAGTAGTAAATAGAAGCTAGGCGACATATCATCTTGACATCTAAAACTGTGTTTGATGTAAATAGCTCAATGTGTCATTCCTCTTCGGACGTTGCTCAAAAGCCTGTTTTATCGGGTGGAAACTGGGGCAGAGGCACCATCATACTGGACGCCATACAATTTCGAGCGATGGATGGGTCTTTCATCATGTCGGCACGGTAAGTGAACGAACACCTCTGGGTTCGCGCGTAAAAGAAGCCGCAACTTCGCCTACTTTATTTGGAAAAGCCCCCATCAAAAACAAGAAGACCGTCAGACCTCCACTCAACGACATGAAGAAGTGCGTGCGCTGGTCGACCATCACAGTGTACGAATTCGGCGTTGGTCTTGGTGGCAGCTCCGTGCCTAAGCACGGTGGCCCATCCATCGGCTTAGCGCGCAAACCTCTATGTGTGTGGAGTACGCCGTTAGACGAGCTTGATGACCACGAAGCTACGACGTCTTCGCTTAATACAGTTACGAAAGACACAAAGCACGCGAAGGCCAACAAATTCAAGCGCGCTCAGAGACGCCGAAAGGTTCGCTGGCTCAAGCCACTCGAGCGTGTGACGATGCTAACCAAGGCGGGCTGCAGCGAGAAACGCATATTTCGCATGATGATGGAGTCGTCTGAAATAGCCATGTCTCGACGGCTTACGTTGCGCGTGCTGGACATCTATACGTAGCCCACCAGCTAATCTATCCTTCATCGCACATTTGCGCATCCTGATTGGCAATTGGTATCGTAAAGCGCCGCGAGAATTTAAACGAGTATCGAGTATATGATTAGTGTTTGGCTAGCGAAGATGTTGTACCATAGTTCATAAGTCACAAAGAAGAAACTCTGTTTTCCATTTGGGCAAGAGGATAGTCGTAAGCAGCTTCAGCCTGAAAAATGGAGCTGCAGATAAGCAAGCATAAGCGATAAGCCGTCGCATCAGAGTTAAGCTGACACGGTCACCGCGTTGCATAATGTATTGATTTGCTCTTGGATAGCAGCGATGACCTGTTTTGTCACTCTACACGCTTCAATTTGCATGTAACGCGCGTGATTATTGCATGCACAAGTTACAAGGGACACTATTTGAAAGCTTTGGCGCCTTTTTACGAAAAGATTAATCCGGTCTTACAAGAAGGAAAATCACGTTCTCGCTATCATTGCCACCACTTGTTATCTCTACTCATACAGATCTTGATCCCTGTAGGAATTAAAGCTGCGAACCATTTCTTCGATGGAATTTGGGAACGGCTTTAGCCAAAGCTTCTATCGAGTGCCAAGCCAAGAACTTTCTTTACTCCTTCCAACCTTTGATGAATATGTACTCACTCAATAATCGGTGTATGATTCATTATGGTCGCGTGGCAGAGCTATGAAATACCCACACTCATAAATCGAATCACACGCTCGATGAACAAAAAGTTGCAGTCTACTGTGAGCGGCCTTTAAATGTTAACCAGTAGTGTGATCAAAAGCGAAGCTGTAGCATCGGATGATACATTTCAAGTTGCAGCTTGTTGACGTCCAAAAGATCGTACGCGATTCCTTGTATTTTCCAAAACGCAAGAACAGGATAGTCATAAAAATGGATGGCGACGTACAACGAAGATTGGCAAAAATGTTTAAACTTCTCACCTTATCAGTCATACTATCAGAGCTCCATATCTAAATTCCTATTTATTTGTTTAGTCAAACTGAAATGTACGCACTCCAAACCCAAAATCCATCCATCTGCTTTCAAAACACGAATGTTTGATACTTGAATGATGGCATAGCTAACAAATTGTTTTGCATGCATAGATTTTCGGACCAGCTGGAGGCAGAGGCCTCGTCAGAATTCCATCCTCTCTCACCAAATGCCACACAAGCTTGTGTATGAAAGAGATTTATCCCTATCTCTAACTCCACTCTCACAAATTTTCATCTGTGCTCACTTCTGAAACCGAGGATGATTTACTATAACACCTCGCACGTATGGGGGGTTTTGACGCGCTGGCAGGGTTCTGCAATGAACGGTCAAGCGCCAAAGCGCGCCTTGATGATGGCTATCTTTGCTTCAATTGTTGCTATTTTAAATCGATATCACCAATTCGTAGTTCCTACGCGCGAATCAACGGCATTCACTGACTCGCTTACGGTGTTTAACACTTTTCTTGGTCTGATCATCTCATTTCGCATGAATTCAGCCTTCGTACAGTGGCGTGCAGGTGTAGTTGCTGTGGGGTCTCTCTCAGAGGCTGCGCGTGACATTGTAGCCTCGGGCTGTGCATCCGTATGTACAACGATCGAGTCAGAATGCACAGTTGCTACTGACATACCTGAGACCGGGAATTATTACACCTTTGGAGAAGATAAAACGACGTCAAGCATACCCAAGGACGTTCTCGAAAAGTGCACGTTCTTCATGGAGCTACGTCGATTAGTATTTCTATATATTGCTATTGTGTTTCACCATTGTCGCGGTGTGGATGGTATCGACAAATTGAAGGAAGCCGGAGTGCTTACAGATGCCGAGCATGACGAACTTTACGCTTGTGGGTCGGAATACAGGGTGCAAGTTGAAGATAAAGAGTCCTTCAGAGCAGTTGTTCGCCAAACTCCTCATAAGTTACGAGCTACAATTACGGAGCTCTGGCTTAAGCGGCTTGTGCAGGTCGCTACAGATCGTGGGCACCTATCGGGGGCAAATGCGAGCGCTCTTCACTCAAAACTCTCACGGCTACCAAACCTGTATACAACAATATTCAACATTGCGAATGTCCCGATCCCGTTCAACTATATGCAGTATTTGCAGTTCCTTCTCATAGCGTACATGCTACTCTACACGTTCGTGATTGTACCTAGGTCTGGATTGTATACCCCTCTGTGGGTGCTGGCGTGGGGAACTTTTCTGTTTATGGCCGACGAAGTTGCCATGGAAATTGAGTGCCCTTTTGGGCTTGATGCGAATGACATCGATTTGGAGGCTCGGCTTTTGCACATTGAAGAAGAACTCACTGTGTTGATTCGTAGTCAATACTACTTCGTGACGAGGGGCACAAGTCCAACGCAAAGTCTCAGTAGCTCCTCTTCGAACACAAGGATCCCAATCATCAAGTCAAAGTCCGAGTCTTCTTCAAACACTTTTTCTTTTCACCAAGGCCGCATCCCACCTTTCCAGGGTATCATTCATCAACAGAGGTCTTTGCCTGAGATCAACGAATTTACAAAACTTATTCGAGATCCTAGCGAAATTAGTCAGAGTAGTATTATTGGCTAACATATGAACTCAGCAGCGTGATATCAACAAAGATCAACATGACAATATAGTATTCGAAGTGTAAAGTTGTCAGTGTTCCATCTTGGCGACATGAAATAAAGTAAGGCATTTCTTTGATAGCTGAAATCTGCAACCTCCAGTCGTCAATTATAGTAATGCGTACTTGAAGGTGTCGAAAAAACGTATATTCGAAGGCTACTTCGTTACTTCAGGGATAGATCGTCGATACGATCATATCACACCTTATAGTAATGGTGTTATTAAAACGCTGCGATATATTGGGCAGGAACAAATATAAGCAATCGATTGGTGCCGCTCGTCAAGACTCGAGTAAGCAGTAAACCAGTCAATTCATATGGGATGAACGTCACTTCAATGATGGATTTGCCACAAAACCAGCTGCTTGTGAACAAAATCACCCTAGCCCTATGACAGGTTGGTTGTCGCGCATTTGCGTACCACCAGATTAAAGGAGAAACTTTATCCGTGTTAAGAGAGTTTGATGGGGCAGCATGTCTAGGTGACATTCCATGTAGCGCACAGGATATGAGTGCTAATTGGAATGCAAAAGCCCAACCTTCCACGCAGGAGGCATCCTGGTATTGTACTGGGTTCCATGAGACCACGTGGAGGTCGGGTTCAAAAAACTTTAACTTCTAAAGAAAATGACTGCCTTATAGTGTACTGGAGATCACAGCCCAGAATTTGTCGGCTGTCAAGATCAACGTATCGGGATTTGTGAAACTCTAGAAAGTTTCGATGGCCTCAGGAGTCGTACGTATAATTGTACGATGCACAGCTGTCAAAAACAGTAGACATTACGCGGAGGCATTAAAGAAACCAGATACGGGTATAATTTCGGCATTTCTCGCAACGGGGTCTTAATGCTCACCATGAGCGGCCTGGGTCGGGAGGAGTCATCCGTCGTCGTTGGTGGCACCATGGACAAGGTCGACACCGACATCTTCTGCTGTAGGTGATCTAGCAGAGCATTTTCATAGCTCAAAAACGACTCTAGGCGCGCGCTTATTGCTTAAGGTTCTTGTGAAGCAGGGTGATGCACACCCTCACGACCAGGCAGGGACATCAGTTTATTAGCCCATCCTGCATGTCTTGGAGCAAATAGGAGAGTTGCTCCATCCTCACAGAGGATCAGTCGTAACGACTCAAGCGTAGACTGACTACGAGTGCCACCAAGTTCAGCGGGGCTGCCGTAGCTCCTTGTTAAGAGGAAGCTTACTAAGGTCACCGACGTTACGTTGTAGACTAGAACCAGTATCAGTGTAGCGTATCGCATTTCGCTACGTCCAAGAACACTTTAAAATCTTAACTAAAGTAATGACGCTCATTGTATTTGATTTTTTGGGGGGCAAAGCCGCCTATATCTAAGACCTTAGTTTGAATATAGCAAAACCTACTTTGAATGCATCAATATGGCAGTCCTGCCACGTAGTGTACGTGGCTGGAACCGCCAGTTTGTAACGGGGTTACACGAACCTAATAACAGGGGG